ATACATTTTTATTTTGATAAATAAATAGGAAGAAGACCCTCAAATGTTTTGCATATGGAGAAGTGGCGATAGAGTGCTTTGATCGGTTTAGAGATGTGATTGGTGCGGATGCTACGTGTGTCCTGCGCTGGTGGAAAGTTTATCAACTCCTTGGTGGATGGAGTCACGTTCGTATCTACAGCCACCCCCCCCTACTCGAAGATTCTGGTCAAGAACAACGCCGATATCGTCGAGGACTATTGATAAATTAGTATTTATCATATTTAATACGTGCTTTATTTGTTTCTTTAAACTATGCAATGATGCGTTTTGGTTTTAAATTATGACATATGACTTATTTTTAATTATTATTAATAGAAACTCTCTTATTATGAAAGATGCACTTTGTTATGAATTGATAGCGTGATATATTTGGAAGATATTCACTTCCTATATTTTATGCAAAAAACCCATAAAAAATGGCAAATATGATAGATTTAACTAAACTTGGAGAATCTACAAAATATTGTCGTATATTCCGGAACTAATGTAAAATAATTGGGAAATTCGGATCTATATATATATATATATATATATATATATATATATCTCTTTTTATGCTTGGGTTCGGTGTTTATAACCACCAGGATCGATGGAATCGTTTAGATGTGATGGGTGGCCTTTTGACGTCATCACCTATAACAGAAATATGTTCACTATATCGTCTCTGAATCCGTTGATCCATGAATGGAGTATTTTTGTTAAGATTTTGCATGTTTGGCACGACCTCGACAATGTTAGTAATTCACTAAATCTTATTTTGGTGGATAATCAGGTTGGTAATTCTTCAAAATAAACGGTAATGTATTTTAACATGTTAAAGAAGTTTTGCATTGAGATGTTTAACTCAGGGTACGAAAATCCGGGCTGCCATTCGCGAAAGTTTGGTAACTAAGTTTTCGCCATTACTGATTGAGGATCTCTGGGTGACATTTCGAAACTTTTTGTTAACCCCTGATGTCGACTTGGTCAGAATAACTCCACATAGATTCAAGATTCAGTTCTCTCCTGATACGTCTGTTGAATATCTTAATTTCCTCGCATGTGATTATGATTGCTTTAGCTTTGGGAGGTTTCGTGATATTCGTACGGGTATAAGTAATCCATATATCTGTGTAGGTGAGATTATATTCGTTTATTTTTTGGTTAGGTTTTTCCTATAATTACACTAATCATTAGGCCCGATTGTTTTCTTTAGATTTGGTCGGGAGGGTCGATAATGTGAATGACATACAACTCGTGCACACCGTGGGCTCTTCGAAAGATATTGCTGTGGTTTATTTTGACCTGATTGATAAAGAGTATTGATTCTTAGTCTTATACAGATATATAATGTTGTTTTCTCTCATCGATATTGTCATAATAATGTCAATTGTGATATAAATTTGTAGGCTTACGCGTTTGAGTTTCAGACTGACCGGTGAATCCGCCGTTGAATTTCATAGACAGTGGAAAGATAACATCGATGATGTCGTCGTTTGTATCATCAGATTTGCTAAAATAGTGGCTACGTCTAATCGTATGTGGCATTGCACAAACGCTGGTTGTTCTAAAATTATGGTAGATCCTCCGCTGCCTGGTGTTGTAGAACTAAAAGAGTGGTTTGCGGACGATTGCAGGAGTCCTAGGACGGTCGCCAAAGAAGCTCGATTGACCTAATTTTGTATCGCTTTTTATTTTTCTTTTGGATGATTTATTTTTAATTTACGGACTACAAAGTCGGTATTTGTGATTGGTTTTAACATGTCGAAAGATTGTTAGACATTTCGCTTTTAGATAGTTTTGGTAATTTAGTCTGAAAGATGTTATATGATATTAATTAAAAACTCTGTTTGAGGTGACATACATAGCTTGTCATTGGTTATTGTTTTTTGTATTACTGATTCAAAAAAGTTGTTCGTGAAAATGCATCGTGTGGTTTCGGTTTCCGTCGTTAGGTAAAATGGAACTGTATTTGCGTGCCTAATAACTTACACCATTTGTATATATTGTTATTATGTTTTTGATAATAGAGTGATATATTTTTACCCCTAAATTTCGTTAGTATATATTTCAGTTTAACTATTGAGATTTAGATTCTTTTTTTCTAGACTTAATTTATTAATCTTATGGATAACTTCTATATCGTTTAGTCAATATTCGTTTTTGTTAATTTTCTGATTTAGTTTTTAATTTATATTTTCCATTTTTATGTTCTTTCCAAATAAGCGTTAGGTCTACATATACTAATCGCGCGTTTATTTCTCATTGGATTGTTTAGCCAAGTAATCGTTTGGTATGGGTTCTACAATGATACCTTTTACCTCTGATTCATGTGATGGTGGTTATTTTGATATTGCGTCTCTTAACCCTAACATGGGTGAGTGGTCTGTTTCGGTGAAGATTTTGAATTGTTGGTCTGTTTCGCGTGGCTCGGGCAGAGAGCTCAATATGATTTTGGGTGATAAGCATGTTAGTTTTTTAATAACTTACCTTCTATACATGTTTTCGATATTAAATTGAATTGATTTTTTCTTTAACATTTAATTTGCAGTTCACACAAATTCAAGCCGTTGTTCGTGATGAATTAATTGATAATTATCTGTCAAGATTGATAGTCGATGAGTGGGTGAGCATTAAAAATTTTGATGTATCACGGGTTAACAGCATCTTGAGACCAGTACCGCATAGATTCAAGATTGTGTTTCGGTCGGACACATTAGTGCAAAGTATTAATATGTGCTCCAGTACAACCTATTTCAATCTAACTGAGTTTGTGAGTATATTGAGTGGTATTGTTAACCCGAACATTTGCGTTGGTAAGCCTAAGTTATGTATTTATTTGCGATCAAGGTTCTGACTGTATTATTCACGTGTGTGTTTCATAGATGTTGTTGGCAAAGTTGTCAACGTGAGAGAGTTGGTTTTTGTTCCTTCCGTGGAACATTCTCAAGGAGGATATTTTGAGATGTACTTTGGTTTACGTGATACTGAGTAAGTCACTATTCTTTTAAAGATCTAAACAAGAATATAAAGTCTTACGACTTCTTCAAATCTTAAAATTAGGTGTATCCATCTAGAGTGTCGTTTGAAATGGTGCTTTGAACATTCATTATTAATTTTTTTTGAATAATTTTGTTAGGATAAATGAAAAAACAAAAATTTAGTACTACGTGATCGAACTGCAGGCATCACTGCTACAAACTCAAGATCAAGAACACTAGACGAAAAGGACTTTTTGGAAAATAAAGGCCAAAAATTGTTTATATTATGTATGTTCGCAAGAAAATGCTTCATGGGCCTGGGTTATGGGCCGATTTTGTTGCCAAGTCATCTCGATTTGCACTTTAAAACTTGGAGTAGATGTTCCACCCAGACCATGTTTGCGGGGGAGTATTAGAATCCACAACAAGCTCAAATATTGTGTCTCATAAGAAGCCCATTAATCCATGTAATTAGGATTCTCTAACAATATAGATTACTATATAATATGTGTAATGAATATCAATGTAGCTAACTTTTGGATCTACAACTTCGAGCATCTCTCTTCTTCCTATTTTATGATATCAATCTAAGAGTCAATTAGTTTGATGTATTAAACTTCAAGCCTAGTCCCTTCGGGGACATCCGATAAAATTGGAACGATACAGAGAAGATTAGCATGGCTCATGCGCAAGGATGACACGAAAAAAAAAAAAAAACTTCAAGCCTATTAAACTATTCTTATATACAAGCCTATTATAAGAAACAAGCCTAGTGAAGCCCACATGTTTAGGATATTAAGCAAGTAGAGTGTATAAATACTCTACCTATGAAAACTTCTATTGTAATTGTAACCTTGAGAGTTGCTTTTCATCTCGATGAAATATCAATTAACCAAGTCGCCTTGGTCCAGTGGTAAAGGAGAGAAAAGTCTCCGCCACCTGGGTTCGAGTAGCATTGGCCACCGGGGTTCGAATTCTAACATGGTTTCCCTGGACTCCAGGATTAGTCTTTGGGCCTACAAAGTCTTTAGGAACACCTGAGTTATCAAAAAAATATATATATATATATATATATATATATCAAGCAACTTCAAGCAACTCTCCTTTATCTTTATGAAATCTCAATCAAAATCCTTTTAGCTCATGGTTCATCATTTAAGCTTTGCTCTCTTTTAGTTAATTTGCACAGAATATGATATAGGAATTAGAGTATGGAGAAATGAAGAAATGATGTAAGAAGACTGGCACGTGTGGCACGTGAGGAGTAGTGAGCTGCAGTACACGTGGAAAGAAAAGATTGGAGCAAGTTGGCTAAAGGCCTTTAAAACAGTCATCGTCTCTCTTCTTCTTCATTATGCAAAATCTGAGAATAGTTTGTTTGTTACCTTTTTCTTCTTGTGTTGTTACAATGGTGGACTCATTGTTGGCTAGAGTTTCTTGTGAACTCAGCAGATGAGATTTGGATCCGCGTTTCATGAACGTTGATTCAATTTGTGTTACTTGTTCGATTGACTTTGAGTGAGATACAGTTTTCCTGCATCAGAATAAATCTCCAATGAACTAATTCAATTTATGTCTTTGTTTTCTATCTGGTTAGGCTCTCTAATAATGAGCATAAATACACTTGCTTTGAAATTACTCATAGTAAACACAACATTTCACCAAGCTCATAGTCATAGAGCTTTTCCGTACTAAGAGACGAATTTGGTGAACACTTGAGAGGTTTTAGGAAATAAAACCATGAGTCAATAAAATTAATATACGTATTTATTGTTAAGCTTTTTTCGCATAATTCAAAGGGATTGGTTTCAGAGGAAGACCGAAGACTTGTGCACTCTACAAGCTTTTTATTTGAACAATTTGTGACCATTAAAGTATTGACTAGTGCTTCTAACCTTTTTAGAATCATGAATTTCTCCACAAAGTGCAATTTCACAGAGACAAGTAGGGCCAAATACATGTGAAAACACGATTAACCATACCTAAACAATGTCCTCCTACTTGTGTTCACCAAAATATACATGAAGCTTATTTCATCTTTTGAGTACAGTTTTTCAAGCTTGTAGCCATCAAGGGTGCTTGGTACACCATTGTGCATTTGCTGCTGATTTTTCAATTGATTTTGGGACAAAAGCAGACATTGTTTGGAGAATTTTGGTTACACACAAGACTGTATCATAGCAAGAACACAACCAGACATGGTTTAAAGAGTTCATAAAACAACCATTTTTACAATTAACAACAAAGATTAAGCCTTGAAATTAAACCGAGTCTTTAATCAAGTCATAGGAAAAGTTTGTCATTTAATCTAATAAAAACAGAACCAACAGAAGTCTCAGGTACCATAAAGTAAGAATTCACGGTTTAGCGCTCAACCCGAAAAGCCACCACGGGAGGAGATTTGTTACGAATCATCACACGATACTCTCTTGAGAATCGCCAAAAGTTGAGGTCGTCTTCCACGTATCCTGTAGGCACACCATATTTACAGAAGTAAATTACATCACCTGGCCAATTAGTAAACAACATTGAGTTCCCACTCACACCACAACCATCGGGAAGCTCCTTAGCCGAGCAAGCGACATTTCCCTGCTCTCCAATAAAAAATACACGGTCTCCTATATCGCTGACCACAACCCATACACCAGCCTCCTCATCTAGCCTACTCACTCTGCATGTTAACCGGCTAAATTCTATTACTTCAGCATCTGGGAGGGTTGCCTCTACAAGAAAAAGTTCATCATTGCCAGATTGGACCAGATAATTTATTGAGCTTAGAGGCTGCAAGGGCATCAGGGGAGTCGCTTCCAGCGAATAAGGATCGATAACAAAAATGTCCCCGTTGAGAAAGAATGCATAAAATCTGCCTCTAAAAGTGACTATACCCGAGCAAGTAGCTATTGAGGTTTTCTCAAGACGCATCCATCTCCTTTCAGCACTTTTTAACACCAACAAATCATGAGAATAGCCGATAAGCACAACAAATCCTCCTCCTCCTTCCTCCTTGTTTAGCGGAAGAACAGCCACGCCTCTGAACCTGGTTGCCAATGAGTGAGGATCCCAACTGATCATTTTGTACTGATGGCCTAGAGATAGGATCTGGCAGTCTAGCATGTTCATTAAGGTTGGATCAGATCCTGGTATCTTCATTCTTACCGAACATTGAAGCGGGGATGGATGCTTCATATGATCCTCTGAGTTATCTCGGCCAATGTCTCCCAGATAATACATAGACGGTGATGTAGCAGGAGTTTTGACTCTAAAGAGGAACAAAGGGATCTTCTCCAGGGTGCACAAGTCTTTGCTTTCTGAAGGGAAATCAGCGAACGAGGGAAGAGAATAACTTGGGCGTAAAAGGCAACAAGGAAAGGGAAATGTGGATCGCCACGAGGTGCAAACAGAGCGAGCATGAACAACATCGAAACAGTAGTCCTCGTCCTCCAGATTCTTGGAGATAAGGTACAATAGTTCCTTCGGTAGAAGAGACCAGTCTGGCATAGACAATGTGTGTTCTTTCGTCACAGATAGAGAAGGCTGCGATTTCGAAACCTAAAACAAAAAAATATCATTCTACGGAAATTGTGTTAAGTATAGGACTGAAACATGAAGTGATAAGCTTTAACATGAACAGAGAAGATGTAATCGCATATCAATTTCATGTATATAAATCTGATAACAAACATTAAATTGGAGAATTGAATAAAAAACTTTGCCAAGTAGATTTTTATCAAACACCAAATTAAGAAAAACAAAACAGAGAGTAAAAGACTTCTTACACAATCTAGCAAAATGGATGATTGCTTCTGTTCCTTTGTAGGTTCTGCCATATTTGCTGATGTCAAAATCTGAAAGAAATAATTAAGCTTCTAGGTATTAGAACAGAGAATATTAATCGAATCATAGCAAAGGGAGAGAAAGAGTCCTCCTTACTCTTAACCCTAGGTCCCTGGATTAGAACCCTAAAGTCACAGAGAAGTTATAAATAAACAACATCAAAAACGTAACTGTCAGTTTCAATATGGGATAGTGGAACTGGGACGGTTCATCAATATGGGAGAGTTGGACGGTTTTATAAGCAGCCAGGTGAAGTGAAGTGAACACCCGTGCAACTCACGTGTTCAAGAGTACCATTGCATATATAGGATATCTATAATTCGTGAGAAAATTGGATATCCTGGTCCGATCCGAATTATAGGATTCAAAATCCAAGTGTAGGTAGAAATACAAACCAAAGAAGTTAAGCACAATCTGTTTAAAGATGTTTGGAAAGACAGAGATTTGATTTCGATCATTTTACATAACATGGAAGATCAACGATTACTTCTTTGCCAAAAACAAAAACAATGACCATAGTCTACTAAAAAAATATTAAAATCATTACACACTCAAAAAACAATGACCATAAGCATTTAGATAAAGCATCCATGGAGCTTTTAACCAGCATTCTTATAATTCAATAACATCAGAAACAGTTTTCATTTGATCTCTTGCATTACCTTGGAGCAGAACTTAAGAACAAAGCTTTTGTCTGCTTCCAAAACTAGCTCCAACATGATCGATTATCCTATCTTCACATCGCAAAACTCTTTCCAGCCTCCAACCAATCTCATTCTCTGACGGTCCTTTTCCAACCTCAGACTCGTAGACCATTTCACGCCATGTTTATCCAAGAAACTCATCTTCTTTGCATTTTGTATGCCATTTACCTTTGTGAAAGGTATTGGAAGAGTCTGAGAAAGATTCAAACAACGGAGACAAGGATTCAGAATTTATAAGGCTGTAAAAAGACAATGGCTCGGAGATGAAACTAAGAACATTTCTTAAATATCAATCATGGACAGAGTTTCAGAAGAGGCAAGAACACAACGTACCATATTGAATCTCACAACAACTAGGTCCCAACATTGTAACGTGGAAACACATATCTCTCTCTTGTCTGAAAACAACAATGTCAGAAGATCATGCGAGAGAGCGAACTCTTTCCAACCGTCAGTGAGTCTCTGTCCATCTATCTTCACTCACTACAAAAAAAGAGGTGTTTTGTGTCATTTATTTTGTATATTTACATTACTTATAAATGATGCAAATAAGTTTTGCATCACTTATAAAAGTGACTCTGAAAGTGGTGATGCAAATATTTTGAATCGGTTGCATCAAATATTTGCATCGATTATTATAATTGATGTTGTTTTGTATCATTTGCAAGAGACGATGTTAAATTTGCATCGGTTAATAAAAATGATGTAATTATTTGTTACGGTTATAGTAAGTGATGTTAAGATTAATATCATTTTTGATAACTGATACAAATAATTGTATCATTTGTAATAATCGATGTTAAATATTTCTATCAATTATAAATAATTGATGTTAAATTTAATATCAGTTTTCATGAACAAATATAGCAATGATATCATTTTCAATAAAATAATAATATATAAAATTAATATTAATAAAATAAAATTAAAAACAAAAACTTAATTTCATGGAAGAAAACACGTTTACACGTTTACAACTTTACATTGTTGAAAATTCAAAAACAAACTCTAAAACCATAAACTACTTTTGTTCCTTAATTAATTCTCAGAAATATCAATCTCGATCACATCCTTGAATTCATGCTGAAAAATCTTTTGGGTCTTTTTCATCAATGGTGCATCCCATGCATCTCTAAATCTTCTTCACGATCCTCACGGTCAGATCCTCATGGGCCTCATAATCCTAGCAACCTCAGTAACATCATCGTCCGTGTGCTTTATTTTCTTAACCGTCTTTCTGTTTCTTTCCGGGTCCTTCAACGCCTTGATGATAAAAGACTGGATCAAAACAGCACAAAATAAGTATGGAGATCAGCCTAAGATCAGCATAAAATCAAAGAGATAACAAAATAGAACTTCTAATTAATCTTTGAAAAGACACATATTTCTAAAGCCACAAACTCTTGTGGTCGTAGATTTATTCTATGAGTAGCTTTTAGCCTTTTACTTTTGTAAATTGAATGACCCAAACAAAATTTAGAACATTAAGTGACCTACAGTTTTGCGAAGAAGACGAGCCACCAAACCTCTGCTTCTTAAAGTAATCATCTTGGCGAGAAGAAGTTATTAACAAAAAAAATATATATCTTAGATATTTGTATTTGGCAAAGAAAGTGTAGATTTTGTAGATTAAAGAAGTTAAGATTCCGGAGAGATTTGTATTTTGATTTACTTAGTTTTGGTGAAAAGGAAAATAGATATTTTATTTCCAACTAAGATTTTAAACTGAGGAAACAAAAAAAGAGGCGGCCAATGAAAAAATTCAAAAAGAAAAGAGAATTTTTTTTTATGATCGTCTAAATTTTGTTTTGTGTAATTAAAGATTTAGTAATAAATAGAGGATGCATGATCAGTGGATGTTAAACCACAAAATTAGTTTTAACGTAATTAGTGTAAACTTATTAAAAATTATATCATTTTTCAAGTGATGTTAATATAAATTAAGAAATACATCGATTGTTTAAATGATGTGAATTTATAAATTTGTATCAATATGTAAAAATGATACAAATTGATCTAGATTTGTATCAATTTTAATGAATTGATGCCACATAAATTAACAATAGCATCAGTTACAACAATTGATGTTAAATTATATTTTTTGTATCAATTATTAATAAGTAACTCAAATTAGTATCGTTTAACTTTTTGATGCAATTTAAGTGATGCAACCTAGCCTTTTTTTTGTAGTGACTTCTCAAGTTATCTTTGACACGTCTGACCTCAGCTCCACCGTCTTCTGCTCATCTCTTCCTTCTCCATTCTTCAAGAAGAAGCCACAGGAATTGTCTGAAGCAACATGCATGCAAATACAAAACCAGAGCTTCTCAGAGAGACAAAGACAGATAAAGAAGAAAGGAGAAAAGAGCAAGGGAAAAAAAAAAAAAAAAAAAAAAAAAAAAAAAAAAAGAAAAGAGCAAGAGAATACCAAGTGACTGTAGAATCCAGGAAGAAGAGGCTTGAAGAAATGTTGCTTGGCCATTCTCAAAATCCCTAAATCTTTCACCTTCTAGTGGAAGAAAGAGTATAGGAAGCACAACATCTCATCAAGTTCAGAGTTATTTGATGAGGAGACTGTTTATATTGGTGAACTCTCCTTGGAACTCGAGAGCTTTGATTGATGATTATACAGTATTTTGTTATAGTCAAATCAGAAATAGATTATATTTACTGTTGTCTTCTTGGTTTCCGTATTTATTAATGGACTTGGTTTCAGAGTAAGACATGTGCACTATGAAATTCCACTTTGTATTAATTTAACAATCTGCTGCCATGAAAGTGGAATTTCACTGAGACGAGAAGGTATCCTGCAAAACAAAACATAGGACTACCTGAACAACTGTATTGACAAGGTGTGAACTAAATTATATTTATACTAGAATATCACTACAACATCAGAGATCACAAAACCAACAGATGTCTCAGTATCCAAAGTAAAGATTTTACGGCTTAGCGGTCTCAACCCGGAGAGCCACCACTGGAGATGTGCTGAGGATCGTCACGCATTTATCTCTTGAGTATCTCCAACAATTGAGGTCATCTTCCTCACGTCCTGTATGCACACCATATTTGTAGGAGTAAGTTACTTTGCGCCCATGGGTGAACACAATTGAGTTCCCAGTCAAACCACAACCATCAGGAAGCTCCTTAGCCGAGCAGCAGACATTTCCTAAATTTCCAATGACCAACAAACGGTCTCCTATTTCGCTAACCTCGACCCATTTACCAGCCTCCTCATCTAGCCTACTCAATCTTAATGTTAACCGATATAAGTATATTACACCAGTACGAGGGATGATTTTCTCCACCAGGAAAAGTTCATCATTGCCAGATGGAACCAGATCATTTACTGAACCACAGTCCAGAAGCGCCTCCGAGGGCATCAGGGGAGTTGCTTCCAGCGAGTAAGGATCGATAGCGAAGATGTCATGATTAGAAAAGGCTGCATAAAATCTGCCTCTAAAAGTGATTAAATCCGAGCATGAACCATATGAGGGTATCTCAAGCAGCATCCATCTCATTTCAATACTTCTTAACACCAACAAAGTCTTAGTGTAGTTGAGGAGCACAACGAATTCTTCTCCTCCTCCAAACTTGTTTAGCGGAAGAAAAGCTACGCCTTTGTAATATTTAGGATTGCAACCAATCATCCTATACTGATGGCCGAGAGAGAGTACCTGGCAGTCAAGCGTGTTAATCAAGGTAGGATCAGAATCTGGGATCTTCACTTTCACTGAACACTGAAGAGGAGATGGAAGCTCTATATGATCATCATCATCACGGCCTATTCCTCCCAGAAAATACTCAGAAGCATCAGCATGAGGAGCTCGGACTCTAAAGAGAAACAAAGGGATCTTCTCGAGGGTGCACAAGTCTTTGCTTTCGTAAGGAAACTTGGTTAACGATGGAAGAGAGTAACTTGGGCGTAATAGGGAAGCAGGAAAGGGAAATATGGATCGCCACAAGGTGCAAACAGAGCGAGCATGGACAACATCAAAACAGTAATCCTCTAGATGCTTGGAGATAAGGTTGAGTAGCTCTTCAGGGAGAAGAGACCAGTCTGGCATGGAAAATGTCTTCTCTTTCCTTACTGATGGAGGTGGAGACAGCTGCAATTTTGAAACCTAAAAAGAAAAATTACAAAATTTCTCTCAATTGATTCAAATCCTCTTTTCACCATACATAGACGAAACTACAAAAACCAGAATCTGCCAACAAACATTGAAAACAGAGAAGCAAATCAAATTTACCAACTTAAATTTAGTTTTTGCCCAAAAATAAAGCAAATTCATGGAGCAGAAAAAAAAAAAAAAAAAAAAAAAAAAAAAAAAAAAAAAGAGTTCTTACAGATGATGTCATCTTCTCTATTTCAGGCTCCGCCATGTTTTGCAGCGATTTCGAAAATGTCAAAGAACAAAATTGAAGCTTCTAGGGTTTAGGAAACTGAAAACAAACATGAACAAAGACTAAATCGGAATTGAAACAGAGAATCAAATCTAAATCCAGAATTCGATGAGAAAGTAGATTTTTTAAAAAATCATAGCAAGTGGAGAAAGATTCTGTACCGATTAGAAGAGAAGATGTAAGTTTGATTTGAGTCTTCTCAACGTTTCAAGCTCGAAGGCACACCTCAAGTAGGGGACACCTTCTGGCTTAAATGGAGGGTTATCAGGCAACAAAAAAACAAGAAAGAAACCCATAATCACATGCCTGAAATTATCCCACATCAGCAACCATAAGATGCATTTTGTTAAAATCATCTCAACAAGCTACTAACCATTAAAGTGGCATGGAACATCTTCTGCAGATTAAGTTTCATATGAGTTTGGGACGAAAGTTGACTTCTTTAGAAAGCCACACACTGACTTTGAGAATTCATGAGACAATCATTTCCATAGAGGCAACAAGTTTTAGAAATTAGAACTAGAATATCACCATAACATCACAGATACACAAGATCTTTACCTGAAGTCATAAGGAAATATATTTCTTTTATCTAATATATGTCTTAGGTATCCAAAGTAAGATTTTACGGCTTTTCGCGCGCAAATCGGAGGGCCACCATTGGAGATGTGTTGAGGATCGTCACACTAGTCTCTCTTGAGGATCTCCAAAAATTGAGGTCGTCTTCTGAGTTTCCTGTATCTACTCCATATTTATAGGAGTAAGTTTCATTGAATATTTCATTGGTGAACAACATTGAGTTCCCACTCACACCACAACCATCAGGAAGCTCCTTAGCTGAGCATGAGCTATTTCCCGGTTGTCCAATTAACAATACACGATCTCCCAAATCGGTGACCACGATCCATTCACCAGCCTCCTCATTTAGCCTACTCACTCTACATGCTAACTTGCAAAATTGTATTACACTACCACGAACGATGATTCTCTCAACCAGGAATAGTTCATCATTGCCAGAAGGAACAAGATAGTTCTGTGAGGTCAGACGCTCCGAGGGCATCAGGGGAGTTGCTTCCAGCGAATAAGGATCGATAACAAAAACATCCCCGTTAATAAAGACTGCATAAAATTTGCCTTTAAAAGTGACTATATGCTTGCAGTCAGCTCTTGAGGTTTTCTCAAGCCGCATCCACCTCATTTCAACACTTCTTAACACCAACAAATCATGAGAGTAGCCGATAAGCACAACAAATTCTTTTCCTCCGTCCTTGTTTAGTGGAAGAAAAGCTACACCTCTGAAACTTGTTGCCAATGAGTCAGGATCCCAACCGATAATTTTGTACTGATAGCCTAGAGGGAGAATCTGAGTATCGAGAATGTTCATCAGGGTCGGATCAGATCCTGTGATCTTAACCTTTACAGAACACTGAAGGGATGATGGAAGTTGCATATGATCATCTGACTTATCTCGGTTTATTCCTCCCACAAAAAACTCAGAAGGCAATCCATCAGCAACAGCAGGAGCACGGACTCTAAAAAAGAACATAGGGAACTTTTCGAGGGTGCAGAAACCTTTGCTTTTGCGAGGGAACTTGGCGAACGAGGGAAGAGAATAACTTGTACGTAATAGGCAAGAAGGAAAGGGAAAGATGGATCGCCACGGGTGGCAGACAGACCGAGCATGGATAACATCGAAACAGTCTTCCAGATTCTCGGAGATAATGTGTAGTAGCTCTTCAGGGAGCTGAGACCAGTCTTGCTTGGACAATGTATGCTCTTTCGTTGCAGGTTGAGGCTGTGATTTTAAAGCCTAAAAGAAAAAGCGTTTACAAAATTGTGTGAGTTCTGACAATGAATTGTATATGTAAAACTACATCTAGATTGATTCAAATCTTTTTTTCACCATAGATACACCAAACTATATCTGCCAACAAACATGAAAACGAAGAATCAAATCAAATTTCTGAACTCAAACTCGTAATTATGCCAAGAAATTAGAAGTAGTAAACTCTTCAAGGAGAAAAAGAGTTGTTACAGAATCGGAACTTTGCAGTAGCTCTTGGGGGAGAGGAGAGCAGTCCAGTAGCGATTTGTTTTCTGGTTGTTGTGATTTCCTGACCTAAATGAGAAAGTAAGCTTTTATGGTTTAGGAAACATGAACAGAGAAGATTAGAACAGAATCTTGCTAATGACACAGTAAATCAAATCCAGTTCAAGAATTCGGTAAAAAATAGAACTATGTAATGAAGGGAGAGAAAGAGTCTGTACCCAAATCATGGTTGATGTCTTCTTTTTCGGTGCCATATTTTGCTAATAAGAGCTGCAATTTCAGTGATCTGTAAGAAAAAGCTTTTAGTGTTTAGCAAACTGTAAACAAACATAAATAGAGAAAAGTAAGTATCAAGAACAAGATTTGCCAACAGATATTGGAATGAGAGAATCAAATCCAATTCCAGAATTCGATAAGCAAATAGATTATTCAATTTCATACCAAAATGTGGATGGAAGAAGATTACAAGTTTAGAACCCTAAAAGTGACATAGACACAGAAGATTGTCTAGTTTGAAGTGAGGTAAGGGAGAGCTTCTGAATGAAAAAGAGGGCCTCATGTGCTTTGTTTTAAAATCAACGGTACAGTTGTAGTAGACTAGTAGTTAACCGAAGTTGGAAAGAAATTGTCAGCGAATAAAGAATTTGTGTTTCTTTCCTTTTCTATTGAGCTTATGGAAGCAACAATAACTGACCATCTTGCAGATTGATAGCCTTCTAAGCGGTATAAGAGTTCAAATTAGGGTCAAAGGCTACTTTCATCTGCTGCAGATCGAGAAAAAGTGAAGAATTTTTGTCAAACACAGTTTGGAGAGTTCATGAGACAACCGTTTCTATGTTTTATAACAAAGATTTAAGACCTGAATCTCGGGTGATCACTCTAAAATCATATAAAACCAACAGATGTCTTAGGTATTCCAAAGTAAGATCTTATGGCTTAGTGTAAAAGATTGTCACACAATTCTCACTTACGCATCTCCATCGATAGCGGTCGTCTTCCTCGTTTCCTGTATGTACTCCATATTTATAGACGTAAGTTACATTGGCCTAAAGGTGGACAAAACTGAGTTCCCACTCACACCACAACCAATAGGAAGCTCCTTAGCTGAGCAAGAGACATTTCCAAAGTGTCCAATAAACAACACACGGTCTCCCAAATCAGTGACCACAACTCATTTACCAGCTTCTTCATCTAGCCTACTCACTCTACATTTGAACCGATTGAAAGGTAATCCCCTAGGAAAGATTACCTCAACAAAAAAAAGTTCATCATTAGCAGATGTAATTGCTTGAGTGCAGAGACTGTGAGGGCATCAGGCTAGTCGCTTTCAGAGAACAAGGATCAATAACGTAAACCCCCCAGTGAAGAAAGGCTGCATAAAATCTGCCTCGAAAAGTGACTAACTCCGAGCATCGTGCATTTGGGAAGTTCCACCTCATTTCAGCACTTGTTAATGCCAGTAAACGCTGGTTGAGAAGCACAACGAATTCTCCATCCTTGCTTAGCGGAAGAAAAACTGTTGTCCGTTCTTCAGGATCCCAACCTATAATTCTGTATTGATAGCCCAGAGGGATGATCTGGCAGTCGAGCATGTTCATCAAGGTTGGAACAGATCCTGGGATTTTCACATTTAGTGAACACTGAAGGGGAGATGGAAGCTCGATACGATCTTCTGAGCTAACTTGGTTTATTCCTCCCAGAAGAAACTCAGAAGGCGACGCAGCAGCAGCAGCGGGAGCTTGGACTCTAAAGAGAAACAAAGGGACCTTCTTGATGGTGCAAAAACCTTTGCTTTTGCGAGGGAACTTGAGAGTAACTTGGGCGTACAGAGAAGAAGGAAAGGGAAACGAGGATCGCCAAGAGCTGCAAACAGAGCGAGCATGAACAACATCGAAACAGTAATCCTCTAGATGCTTGGAGATAAGTTGGAGTAAATCTTCCGGGAGAAGAGACCAGTCTGGCATGGACAATGTGTGCTTTTTCGGTGCAGGTTGTTTCATTTTTGCCGAAGGAGACGGAAACAACTGCAATTTTTGAACAAAAACAAACAAATCTGATTCACAACTGCTTCTCAACAATACACCAAACTACAATAACCAGAATTTGCCAACAAACATTGAAATCGGAGAATCAAATCAAATTTCTGAAATCAAAACTCAGTAATTATGCCCAGAAATTAAGTAGAAGCAAACGTACACAATCCCGGAGGAGAGACGAGTCTAGCATTTTGTATAATGCATCTTGTTCCGTTGCCATTATTGCTTTATTCTGTGATTTTCGAAAATCTGAAAGGAAAAAAAGTGTAGGGTTTAGGAAATTGCAAACAAATATGATCAGAGATGATTCATTGGCCAACAAATATTGCAAACAGAGAATCTAATCCAATTCCAGAATTTAGCAAAGGGGAAGAAGATTAAATCATACCCAAAACCCTTGTTTAGAAGCTTAAGAACACCAAATTCACACACTCTCACAGAGAAGAAGAGCACACTAAAATTCTCATGATGGTTGAGGATTGGTTCAATCTCGTGGTTAGTCTTCGGTTTAAGATTTGAAATTGGGTTAAGTGGCGAGAACTTTTAGGATTACACTTCACTTCTCCAAAGTGTAAAAAGCCCAGGCCCAATTACAGTTGTCCAAAATAGCTAGATGCAGAGGAATTGGAGACTTTATTACAAATTCGGTATAGTGAGCTTAAACCGGGAAATAATAGGAACTGGTATAAGCTCCGGTATAGAGATATGTTACCAACAAGAAAAATGGAAATACAACAATTAGTGAACGTTAATAAATATTTTTGAGATTAAAAAAAAAAAGGAAAATTGGAAAAAAGGAAATTGTAATCAGAGTTTTGCTTATATAAACATAACTTCTCCACAGCTTCATATTTCTCAACGATCTCTCATTCTCTGAATTTGTCGACACAATTCACTCCGATAATGGAAACCAAATCAGTTGATGTTTATGTTTCGACTTGGTCTCATCCCTCGTCAGAGTTCTTAAGCGAGGTACTAATCAGTAAAGACAGAGAATTCGAAGAACTCATCATAGACGAGAACGATGATAGTGTAACGAGTTTCAGATTTTGTGAGAGTTTCTAAATCTAATAAAGAAGTGTTGTTCTTTATATTCTAAGTTCTAACAATCATAACTTTGAAACTTGTCCATACCCAACTCCACGATCATGTCTTGTCCAAACAAATATCTGACCAGATTGTTGTTAAAGCCCAACGGCTAAGAAGAAGTGATCAAAGTTCTGACTTGCCACCACAACAACCGTTATTAATGGTAGTCTCCATCAAATTGACACAGAAGTTATACATCGTCGTGCCTTGTTACTCTGCTCCGTCGACAACATATTTGGACAAAGAGAGCGAAGAAGAAGAAGAAACAGAGACATGTGCGATTTGCTTGGAGTGTATTTTGGATGAGGATAAACGCATCTACCATATGCGTAATTGTTCGCATATGTTTCATGAAGAATGTGTCATCGAGTGGTTGAATCGACAACATAACTCATGCCCTCTCTGTCGCCAACCTGGTTACCAAATAACTAGAGTCTAATTAGGGTTTCAAATTAAAACATGTCTCTTTTGTGTGTTTGTGTGTGTGTGTGTGCAGTGGTTGTAATGATTTAGTTAATCCGTGTGTCGGAAGTCTAATTAGGTTTTCAAATTATGGTTTTGTTTTTGTAGTGATCATTCAGTTAATCTAGGGGTTTCACAATTGTTATATTGTCGTAGACATTAAGATTCCAATTATGGTTTATTCTTTATGTATCACTCTATATACCTACAGTTAGATTTAAAGAAATTCAGATTCTCTCGACTTGAAATTCACACTATTACTTTCATTACAAGTTTGATTCTGGTATGCAACACAAATCTCACACTATTACGATTAAGTTACATTACCTGGCTCATAACACATTACACAATGCTAATTGATGGAGAGAAGAAGAAGTCTCAAACAAAATCGAAGCACATGAGATTAGAAGCTGCGTAGATTTCAATTTCTCACCCTTTTGATCGAAGAGGAGAACAATGTGTGTACCCTGCCCTGTCTTAGCTCGGAAACTGGTAAACAGTTTGACCACCAAACGCATATATATTCACACAGAGTAGGGTAAGTTCAGGAGTTGGTTTCTTTGGCATGAGCCCTCCATACTTGTTCTTTACAAAATGCAATTAAAGAAAGAGTTAGGCCACGGACTCACGGTATCGTATTCATTACTAAATTTGATCAATATCTAGTGTGAGAATGAAAAGGAACCCTCCTGCTGCAATGATGGCATTGACCTTCTCTGCCTCGTCGGTGAGGTTTCCTTGCACTGATTGCTATTTGACATCCTCTGCGCTAGACATGATGATGTCTCAACGCCACCAAAGACAAAAATGCTGCAAGATTAAATAATATACAACATTACTTAGCGAAAATACACACAACTTATGAACAAAAACGAAAGCAGACTTGAACTTGAAAAGAAAACAAAAGTATATTCTTTATGAACAAATGATATGCTTCCTATTTGATACTAGTTCCACAACAATCCTATGAGTCTATGACCAACAAATACTGAAAACAGAGAATCGATTCTAATTTCCAGAGTTTAGCAAAGGGGAAGAAGATTAAATCGTACCCAAAATCCACACAAGTTTAAGAACACCAAATTCACACTCTCAAAGAGAAGAGCACACTAAAATTGTCATATTGGTTTACACATGGTTTACGTTTGGTTCAATCTCTTGGTTAGTCTTCGGTTTATGATTGAAATTGGGTTTAGTGGCGAGAACATGGGCTGTGTTTTCTGTTAAAAGCCCAAGCCCAATTACAGTTTTGTTCAAAAAAGCTTGATGCAGAGGATAAAACTAGGCCTGGGCATTCGGTAATAACCGACTAAACCGAACCGAAAGAACCGACTATTTCGGTTATCGGCACCGATTGTGAGAGGAGGCTTGAACCGATCGGCGAAATTATTTTGAGAATTCGGTTTCCGGTTCGGTTCGGTTCGGCATCACCTAACCGAACGGTTCTTCGGTTGTCTCCCAACCATCACCTGTCTTTGAAGCAGCTTCATGAACTCAAGCTAAGGAATGAGTTGCAGATGTTGAAGATCCGCCATGGAAGCTCGAGGAAAGACGACGGACTGAAAAAAATAATAAACGAAACGCTAGGGTTAGGTGCGTTTAATTATCTGGACTACTTGTGGGCTTACTTAATAGAAAATATGTTAAATGTAACATATGGGTTAAACTGTATCTGCAGGCCCAAATGTTGTTATAGCCCACGATCTATTACATAAAATAGAAAACCCTAAATCTAATTGTGTTTCTTTAATTTTCTTCTCCCAGCCGCTTCTCCTTCTACTCTCTCATTCCCTAGTAAAACCTTATGCATCTTCTTCTGCTTCACATCTCTCATTTTCTTCTCTAAATCCTCACAAAATTAGCAAGGACAAGGAAAACTTCAACGTCGCCGAGCCTTCTGCTTCTGATTACAATTTTATGATTTTGGCTGTTTGGTAACAGATCTCGTCGGACGGGATCGAACGGCCGCACATCACCGTCACCGTCGCCGTCTCGTTCTCACATACCGTCGAGAACCGTATTTTTCATGGGTTTGGGCCAGTTTATTGTAAATTTGATAATGGGTTTGTAATTTGTTATTATGGGCTTAATAATTCTAGTTGTTAAAATGTTTATTGGCTCTTAATTTACTATGGTTAACCGAATGAACCGAAAAAAAAAACAAAATCGGTTCACTTCGGAATTACTTTTTTAGCCTATAACCGAACCGAATAAACCGACTACCGACCGAACCGAACCGAAATTATATTCGGTTCAATTCGACAGGATTTGTAGAAAACCGAAAAACCAGAAAACTGAATAAACCGAACTGTTTAACCCGATTAAACCGAGTGCCCAGGCCTAGATAAAACAGAAGAGATCCACGGACTTGAAGGAAATTAGAGCATGATTAACGGGCAGTATATTAGGGAAATCTTAGGGAAATCTTAGGGATAAAACTGATTAAATTAATTGCATTTACTCTTTTTAAACTAAGGAACGTTCCTTCTGTTTTTTTTTCTCTTTCTCTCTTTCACGAGTGTTGTCGGAGTGTTGTTCTTCTTCCACTGAAATTCACAAGATTTCCGATTATTTTCAACAAATCAGAGTGAAGCTTTCCCCAATCGGTTTGTCATGGTATGAATCTATCTATGATTGTATGAATTGATATGTGATTAGAGTTTTTAGAATTAGGGTTCATGGAATTTGGGATTTTAGGGTTATTAGTTGTTAGTAAAATTAGGGTAATTAGAATCATTAGGTTAACGAGTGTCTGTTTGTGTTGTAATACATGAGTAAAGCCGATTGTTATGATAGTAAAAGAAACTAGGCATGTTTAAAGCCGATTGTTGTCCGAGAATGTTTTTTTCATGAGTGTTGATGATTGTTTCGATTAATACTCTCTGGGATCTTTTTATAATTCATGAATTTGATAAGTTTTTGATGCTATACGCATGATTGTTAGGTTACTCTGAGATGTTTTTGTATGAATAGGCCATGAATGTTGAAAAAGAGAGTTTCTTTGATTTGTTATTGGTTGGTTAAAACTTGGGTATTGTTTCGTTTTATTTGTTCTGTGTTGTGGAATGATTAGTTGATATGTTGAACTGAGTATTGATTTTATTGCATCAGGTAAGGGAAACAGTTTCGTTGCATTGTGGATTTTTTAATGCTAATGGGGGATTTAGGATTTTGGATAAGGATAAGAGGTTTATGCAAACATGTGAAGTTGTAGTCTCGACGTGTGCTTTTGGTGGTGGAGATAAAATCTTTATGAACCTATTGGAATGTCTAAGGCATCAAGTCAAAAGGTTGGTCACTTTGATTTTCTCCTGTCCACTGCTCTTTAACTGTTTCTCTTGCATATCGAGTAAGGGTTTTAAACAAAACCAATTCCAGAGATCATTATCCAATCCTGAATGAGGTTTGTGGATGCAGGTTTGCTATGTTGCGTTTTGGGATGAAGTTACTCTTGCAACACAAGAAGCAGAGGGGTCATAAGATCAATGAGAATGATCACACTGGAAAGTGGCGTATAGTGATTGTAAAGGATATGCCTTTTACAGACCAAAGGCTTACTTTCTTTTTTCAAGTGAGTTATTAGAGTTGTTGAATGTGTAAGAGAGTCGAGCTCTTGTTTGTAAGTTTAGTCTAATCTCTAGAAGTCTAAGTGTGTGTAGTTAGTAGAAGAGTAACTAACTACTATAAGAATGCTATGTGTGTGATGTTGTATAGAGCTCAAATTCCACACACGAAAGATACCATGATACTAACAAGAAGCAACAATTCAAAAATTTTGGTCGATATGGCAAAAAATTTCCGAAAATCAAGTTTAAAACTATTGTGTTTTATGTCATCTATGTTATAAATTGTATCTCATGTATGTTTTAATTTGCAACAATTATTAAATTTTCTATGATTATAAATTTTATTTTTATATTAATATTTTTTTTTCTAAAAACCACATGTTAAGAGCCTACCATTAATCACTCAAAAATTTTAACTCAAAAATACTATCTATTAACAATCACTTTTACAAATAAATTACTTAAATATTGCTAAGATTAATTTCTAAGAGACTACCTATAATCATGCTCTTATTACAGATTCGGTATGGTGAGCTTAAACCGGGAACCAATTTTAAGCTCCGGTAGTGAGTTACATTAAAATTGAAAAATGGAAATACAACAACAATAAAAGAAAAAAAAAGGAAACAAGAGGAAAGTTGAAAAAAAGGGAATTGTATATCCGCATCAAAACAAATTCTAATCAAACTTTTGCTTATAAAAACATAACATTACACTTTGACTTCTCCACAATTTCCTATTTCACAATAATCTCTTCTCTTATTTCCAATCTCTTACGACTGATCATCTCTCTTTCTCTGAATTTGTTGTCTTAATTCACTCTCGGATAATGGAAACCAAATCACTCAACGCTGATGTTAACGTAACAGATTTGTTTCTTACTCCATCTTCAGGCTTCTTAAACGAACTAATAATCATTCGAGAGAGAGAAGTCGAGGAATTTATCATAGACGACAACGATGATAGTGTCACGAGTCTCGGATCTTACCCGGACTCTCCTCCTTCCGACCCACTAATCTATCTCAAATTCCAAAACTTCGAACCAAACTACCTATATCAACTTGTCCATACCCAACTCCACGATCATGTCTTGTCCAAACAAATATCTGACCAGATTGTTATTAAAGCACAAGAGCTAAGAAGTGATCAAAGTTCTGATCACTTTCCACAACAACCCTTATTCATGGGAGTCTCCGTCAGATTTACACACAAGGTATACAAAGTCGTGTCTTGTAACTGTGCTCCGTCGACAACAGATTTGGTGGACCAAGAGACCGAAGAAGAAACAGAGACATGTGCTATTTGTTTGGAGGATATGTTGGAGTCGGGATCTATCTACGGCCATATGCATAATTGTTCGCATCTGTTTCATCAAGGTTGTCTCAACGAGTGGCTGAATCGACAACATAATTCATGCCCTCTTTGTCGCCAGCCTGTTTACCAGTAACAAAAGTGAAACAGTCTAATTAGGGTTTCAAAATTTGTTTTTTTTTTTTTTTTGTGTATGGTTGTGTATCTTAGTTGATCCGTGTGCCGGAAGTATAATTAGGGTTTCAAATTATGTTTTGTTTTTGTTTTTGTTGTGATCATTTAGTTAATCTAGAGGTTTCACAATTTTTATAGTCTCGTAAACTTTAAGATACTAATTAGGATTTATTTCTCTCAAATTTACATTATTACTTTCACTACAAGTTTGATTAATTCTGGTATGCAACACAAATCTCGTTTTGGGTACAAATTTTGACTTTACCGTAGAGAGGAACAATTCATTTTGTCTACCAAATAACAACACTCTATATTGTTAAAGTGATACTCATCGATCGGAGTCACGGCCGGCTCAAACCTCTGTTGGACCTGGTGCAATCATGAGAAGAGGACCCTAAAAATGAAAATAATTTTTAACTTAAAGACAAATTACATTTTTTAGCTGTGGTAAAAAAAACTCCTTGACAACTAGGAAAAACAGAGGACAACAAGAATCTTTCATCCTTCAAACAGAGGACCCTGTGCTTCAGCACCTAGGACACATGTGTTAAGCCGGGCCTGATCGGAGTATATTAGACCATCACCTTCCAAGAACTGAATAACATCCAAAAATAAAGCAAACTCATGAACTCAACAACTTTGCAAGTTTAGAGAGAGAGATATGTGATAAGGAGACAGAACGAAAGAGCGTACTATAGCTTGTTCTTTGAAATCTTCAATTGCTGAGTGATGTTATCGATGTGATTCAGAGTTATGGGAGTACAAGTGTATACACTCAATATAGTGAAAGTGATAAAGGAAACAAAGTACTGAGTTTATTGATAACGATAAATGGATACAACGTTCGCAAGTAACGCAGCACCACTTCTCATCTGCAAGAGTCTCAAAGAGAGATCCAGCAAAACGATGAGGAAAAGCTTGAGAACAAGCAGAGAACAAAATAAAGAAGAAGATTACAATCTCAGATTTAGCATAATAATGAATAAAGCGTCTTCAGCTTCTTATTAACCTCAATCCTCTGCTCTTAATCTTCAGAACATCCTGGCCATTGCTTTTAATCTTCAATTACCACCGTCCACGTGTCATTGATTTATCACCATCCTTTTCTCTTCTTCCTTAGGTGCTGTTAACTTCTCACGGCTACCAACTCTTTTCCAGAACTGGAAAACATCACCAAACTGTAAGCCATCAAAGTCAAATCCACAAAAGAACTGTGATCGATTTTTCTCCAAGATTGCAGACGTGAAATCCTCAAGAATATAACCTGATTCATCGGTACCGAACAAATTTGTCTTTGTCACCATCATCTTGGCTTGAATCAAATCCGGTTTCAAATTGCAACTCTGCGTCTCTAACTTCACTTTATTTACCTTCACAGATTCTGGTTCTTCTTTCATCAGAACCAGCGATTGAAAATGGTCTAAGCAGCCGTTATTCTCTGTAAACAACTCGAAGCTCTCTTGATTCGATGATTCTGATATAAGCAGCTTTGTTGTTGTCGTTGCTTTGAACTTAAACCACCAAGTCTTTGAAAATGTTTCCCTTCTCCTATTTTGCAATAAGTGTGTTCCTAGTGGAATTGAACCAAACACTTGGCGTACACTACTCGAAGCAATTCCAAGATCAAATTGCGATTGCGATAGTTGTATCCTCACAACTGTTGATGTCAAATCATCATAACGTAAAGCCTTTGTCTGATCATAAACATCCATAGATTCTATAGAAGACCTACGGCTAAGTTCCCATTGAGGATTTGATACATGACGTTTGAGAGGCAAACACATACGATGAACCAAGCTAGGTTCTAGAACTGAATCTGTGGAATGATTCTTGGCTTGTTCTTGAATCATTTTTTTATTTTCAGTCAATGAATCTGTGTCACCAGTCTCTAAATCACAACCAATTGCATTCGACAGCCCCATATCACTCGATATCTTAACCGCAATTTCTTCTAATTCAATAGCATTAGAGAGACGATCTTCACTATCTATCATGAGAATACATGCGTTCTTGTGTCTCAGATGGTGATCTGGAGTTTCAGATTCATCACAAAACATACAAAGCCCCTTTGACCTTCTCTCTTCCATTTCTTCCCAAGAGAGGCTTCGACGAATCTTCATTGTGCGATTTGACGGTGGATTACTATTAGTAGCTTTGATCTTATAGTTTGGTTTTGGATCTGGACGATTGAGATCCTGTGAATCTCGAACTTGCGGCGAGGCTGAGAGAGCAACGACTTGCAGATTCACCTCCTCTGCGTTCCTAGATCGTGATGACGGATACATAATTTCTGGAGTCGCTGAAAGCACCGGAGATGATCGTTGCTGTTGTAGATGACCACTCGATGATGAGTGATTCACTTGATCGGAGAAGAGCTGAATTGCTTCCCGCAGTTTAGCCATACGCTTGTCGATCTGAAGATTTTGTGCCGCAATCACTTGTTCAAATCGCGATCTAGTTTCTGCCATTGATTTCGAGGAAGAATGGCTCTGATACCAGTGATAAGGGAAACAAAGTACTGAGTTTATTGATAACGATAAATGGATACAACGTTCGCAAGTAACGCAACACCACTTCTTATCTGCAAGAGTCTCAAAGAGAGATCTAGCAAAACGATGAGGAAAATCTTGAGAACAAGCAGAGAACAAAATAAAGAAGAAGATTACAATCTCAGATTTAGCATAATAATGAATAAAGCGTCTTCAGCTTCTTATTAACCTCAATCCACTGCTCTTAATCTTCAGAACATCCTGGCCATTGCTTTTAATCTTCAATTACCACCGTCCACATGTCATTGATTTATCACCATCCTTTTCCTATAACAGAAAGGTAACCTCATTGAAGTCCATTATAGGCCTGCAAAACAAAACAATATTTAATACTAAAGATGATTTCACATATATCTAACAAATCCTTGTATAGAACATACCAAAATCTATTGCCAATTAATGCTAAAAGAATCAAAGCATTTCAAAACCAAAAATACAAAACATACCTCACAGAGAAAACAAGAAGCTACGTTTTATCCTGAAAAGTCTTCAAATGACCATTGAGACGCTCATAGGTTCCATCTCTGTTTCACAATCTCACCATTAGAAAAAAAATACCTCCAAAAATAAATATGATCACACCACATATCATACAAGAACCAAAGCTACTAACCGCACCGACTCCATTTCTCTAGCGTCGAAAGTTTCATTCACCCTATAAGAAAAGCACAACAACACCAATTACAAACTTCATAAACTAACCATTGTACCTAAAAACAACTCTTGCATTTATCAAAATGTTTACCATCTTTTACAGTCAATTCGTCATGTTCCATCATCAAGAGTGAATCTAACTTCTGTGACTTTAGAGACATCTTTGCCACACACTAAACCAACAAGTGAGTCCTGAATTGTACCAAAAACATCACACAATTGAGTAAAGCTCGTATTCATATTGAAGAATAACGATATACAGAGAAATCTAGAAATGGTATTTATGTTTGTTAGTGAGATTCCATTTATGTTTTTTTTTTTTTTAATTTCAAATTTCCATTAAAAGAAAAAGATTATAAGACCAGGAGGCCCAACAAGCACACAGGCCCAAAAAGAAAAAGATTACAAGCCCGTAGGCCAAAAGGCACGCATGCCACGAAAAAAACACAAATAACAAAAGAACAAAGGCCAGCAGCCCAAAGTGCTACCTGCCCAAAGTGCTACCTGCCCCAAAATAAACAAAACCTGCAGAGAAATAAGGAGGAGGGATTACAAGAGAAGAGACCTAGCCTGGAAAAGACCAAACCAAGTACACAACAAGGATGATCCAGGCTGCACAACAGATTGAGCCCTGGAAAGCGGATCGAGACGAGTACGAATTATGAGTTGAATCTCCTTAATGATGAGATTGGAGGGTCTAGCAACACCGGAGTGAATTCGAAGGTTACGCTCCTTCTAGATAAAGTAAATAGAGGCTTGGAAAATCAGTTTGATGATTACTCGAAGCCGAAAGTAACCAAGTAAGGCAAGCCATGTACTGAGATGGATGATTCAGACGAGCCGCAGCTGTGAAGAACCCCCAAATGTCAGCACTGTAACGATACTCAAAGAAGAGGTGATCACGAGACTCCGAAAGGTCATTGCAGAGAACACAAACTTCCGGAATAAAGAGGCCTCATCTCGTAAGTCTGTCCCTTGTGTGTAACCTATTCCAAGTTACAACCCAGCAAATAAAAGCATGTTTGGGTACCCGGTCTTTAAACCAGACAGCCTTGTGCCAAGGGACCGAGATGGAGGTAAGGTAAAGAGCCACCCACGTGCCAGCCGTCGAGAATTTGTTTGAAGGAGGATGATTCTCAAGCTTCCAACGATAAGAATCATCATGCTGACACTCAAACACATTCATGGCCACAGGGAGAGAATCCTTTAGCATCCTAATAACTGGGTTCCTGCTCCTACTAGAAGTAATCCACCAGTCATTACCCCTGAGAGCATCTCTTACCACATCATTATAAGGAAGACCCAACAATTGCGGCCCATTAATACCAGCCATGTCATAGAGAGGCCCAAGACCCGTCCAATTGTCATACCAAAAACTAGCAGTGACAACCGACCCAACTTCACAGAAAAGGAAGGGCCTGGCCAGCGGTCTAAGCTTGCACAACTGTCTCCAAATCCAACTGTCCGAGATTGAGGGATTAAGGTCCCAAAAGTTTCTTTGACCAATAAGATTCAATCTGACCCAAGAAACCCATAGTGACCCAGCCGCAGTGAAAAGCAACCAAATTAGCTTCAGCGCAAGGACTTTATTCCAAGAGGACAAACGTTTTAGCCCCAATCCTCCAGCCTCCTTAGAAGAACACACAATCTCCCAAGAAATCTTTGCTCCCCTAGCCGAGTTAGGAGCCCCTGTCCACAAAAAAGCATTACACATCTGCTCCAATTTCAGTAAACATTGGTTGGGAAGGATGAAGATAGAGGCCCAGAAATTAATAGTAGAATAGATGACGGATTATAAAAGCTGAAGTCTCCCAGCAAATGAGAGGTGGCGAGCGGTCCAGGCAGTGAACCTCAAGTTGATTCTGTCAAGAAGAGGTTGATAGTCCTGCCTTTTCATTTTTTGAGCCATAAGAGAAACTCCCAAATATCTCACAGGGAGAGATCCATGAGCGACACCAAAACTAGCAGATAATAACCGATTTCTCTCAAAGTCTCCACCATCAAGAAGCAAAGCAGTCTTTTGTCTATTAATACCCAGCCCTGAGCCACTCTTAAACACATCTAAAATATTCAGAATCCCAGCAATGGAAGATTCAGACCCGTCACAGAAAATCAAAACATCGTCTGCAAAGCTCAAATGAGTTACCATTGGCGCCAAGCACTTGGGATGGAGAGTGAAGAGGCCATTCACCGCACCAAGGTCCAAAGATTTGGCGAGAATATCCATGACAAGAACAAAGAGATGAGACGACATTGGATCCCCTTGCCTAATCCCTTTCTTCCCTTGGAAAAAACCAATCACCGTTAAAGGCAATGCTGTAGGAAGGAGTACTAGAAATACAGACCCAAATCCAGTTTATGAACAGAGGAGGGAGATCCATAGCCTTAAGAATATTGATTAGGAAATCCCAGTTAACATTATCATAAGCCTTTGTGAGATCCACCTACAAACAGCCTCTGGAAGTAATACCTTCAACTTGAAAATTATCAACCAATTCTGAAGCCAAGAGCACATTGTCACACAACAACCTCCCTTTAATGAACCCCACCTGATTGTTCTGCACCGCCTGATCAATAAAAAGCCTCAGCCTCTTGGAGATTAAGCGAGTGATGACCTCATAGATTGTTGTACAACAAGCGACGGGTCTGAACTGGGTTAATTGATCAGCCCCTGTCTCTTTGGGAATAAGAGTAATGGCAGTCGCATTAAATCTCTTCAACAGGTGACCTGTTACAAAAAATTCCCTCACAGCCGCCACAGTACAGTCCTTAACAATAGGCCAAGCTTCTACAAAGAACTCCACCGGAAATCCATCAGGACCCGGAGCTTTGTTCCTGGGCATGGTAAATAGAACCTGAGTAATTTTCTCCTCACTAGGGATAACTGAAAGCTTAAGAGCAAGAGAAGGATCACAACGAAAAGGATGGAGCTGACGGATTCTATCCACCGAGAAGGGAGTGACAATATCACTAGGAGTGCTGAGCAGATGCGTGTAAAAGGCCACTACCATACCCTTAATCTGATCCACATTGTCAATTCTTGTGTCATCCGGCCCTCTAAGGAACTTGATAAGATTGTTCGCATGATGAGCCAAAACATCTCTATGGAAAAATCTTGTATTCGCGTCTCCCTCATGAAGCCAGCGAATCCTTGATTTTTATCTGTAAAAAGACTCCAAAGCAGCAGCAAAGAAGTCCCATTTTTTCCTAGCCACGTGTTCTTCCCTGAATAATGAATCAGTAGGGCTAGTGAGTAAGGCAATCTGCAATGACTCTAACTGGGAAAGAGCCAGATCAGTTCTCTGCTGAATGTTGCTGAACCTAAGCCTATTCAAACTCCTGCAAAACAGCTTTGCAGCTTTTAAGTGCTCACCCAATGAGAACATATGCGAGCCAATTGCAATATCTTTCTTCCAAGCCACAGATAAGGATGGAAGGTAAGAAAGATGGGTAGAGAGAAAAGAGAAGTATTTGAATGACTTCTTTGCTCTACCTGGCTGATTATCAATGGAGATGATACACGGCGAATGATCTGAATCCCCTGGAGGATCAAAAACAGCCAAGGCGCTTGGAAAAACCGAAAACCATTCGCTGTTAGCTAAAGCTCTATCCAATTTTCTAATGATAGGATTATCTTGTTCGGAAGATCAGAGAGATTATTATCCCCCTGCTCGGAAGATCAGAGAGATTATTATCCCTTAAGCAGCTCTGGAAATCCTCAATACCTCTCATGGAGAAGGAAAATTGAATGATAGAAAAGTGTTCATTGGTGGCAGCGACTTGGTTGAAATGCCCAACCAGAATCCAAGGAGTCTCTGAAAGAGGAGTAGAAGACGCCAACAAGGAAATATCCTCCCAAAGTAATCTCCTCTCAATTTTCGTATTTCTCCCATAGACAAAAGCAACCGCAAAAAATTGGTTGAGATTTGGCAGCTTGATACTGCAGATGATAAACTGATCCGATTTTTTTAAAACCAAAACTGAAACAGAAGGATCCCAAACAATCCAGATCCTCCCAAGATCAGAGCAACAATAGTTGCTATCCATTCTCCAACCTGGTAGGGTAGAGGCTAAAACAGAGCCGGCATTCTCCTCAGCCACATGAGTTTCCAAAAGACAACCTACCAGGAGATTATTTGAAGCGACCCAGCTTCTGACAAATCTTTGTCGATTACGGCTATTCAAGCCACGAATGTTCCAGCAAAAAACCTTCATATACACACAAAAGGTGAAGGCGAAAGCAAAGCTTTCAATGAGGCAAAGAGCTGTTCGAGAACTCGCCTCGATCAGTTCCATGAGTTCCTGGTGTCGTAGACCGCATGCGGTTGTGCCATTTCTTTAGTTCTTTTTTCTTCACCTTGGTAGACAAAAAGCCCAACCCGGAGGGATAGGGAAATTAGGATCAGGAGAATGGATAGAATCTCTTTTGAGGCGAAGAATACCTGGGGTTGACTGAACACAGACAGCCTCCACATATCCACTTGGTTTGGGCTGACGAGTAGAGGAAGAAGGCTTACCTCCAATCTTCACAACCCATTTCTTACCATCTTCAGGTCTCTTCCCAGAATGGTCCTCTAAAGTCTCAGGAGACTGAGAATCCAAAATTTTCGGAGGAAAACTCAAGGATCGCTTTTTTGATCTAGACCGTTTCCTTCTAGGCTTGGAGGGAGGCGTCAGTCCAGCCCCAGTCTGAGCAGAAATCTCCTCAACCTTGTCATGTCCAGAAGAGGGGATAGAGACTGAAGGAAGAGACACCTCTTTGGATCCAGACGGCTTATCTTTCTTAAAAGGCGACTTCTTCAAAAGAGGTTGGGGGCATCTACTCAACAAATGCCCATATTTCCCACAATTCAAACACTTCAGAGGCGGCCTGGGGTAGTCAACAGCCACCCGGGCAATATTCCCTTGTACATCACGAACAACAACTGTGGAAGGGAGAGCAAAACCCAAATTTATGACCACCTTCACCTTTGTGGTACCAATATTAACCGGATCTAGCCATGACTTCTCTGTATGAAGAGGTTCCCCAATTCCACTTGCAATGACGCTTATACCTTCTAAAGAGTACAGCTGAGGCAGGACATTCTTCAGAATCGCCCAAGTTGGAGCCGTTTGAAGTTCTTCAAGTTTTAATAGACGTTCTGGAGACCAAGGGTAAACTGTACAAGAACAGTTACCAGCTTGCCAGAAGCCTATATCAGTAACCCAGTTACGAGAATTGATCGCCGGAATGAAAATCAGAGTAGCTGTTTCAGAAATAATCCTCACAGTGATGTCTCCAAATTTCCCCCAAATCGGATTCAAATCATTGAAAATTCTTGACGAAGGAGGACACAGTCCATGAAACTGGGCCACAACATGTTCTTTCCACATCTCTGCCGTCTTCAACAACACCGATGGAAGAGCAACCACAACCGGAGTACCGTCTTCCAGGAAAGTCGGCGAACTCATTTACTTCAGGTTACGCAAAGAAGCCTTGAACTTTGATGCCCAGGGAAGGTCCATCTTCGGAGTTTGAGACTCAGATTCACCAATGGGAATTGAGGTAGTCTGTGAAGTAAGAGTAGCACCAGTCAACGGTAAGCTGCCTGGAAGAGTACTCGTGACCGCTGTGGAGGAGATCTCAGACACAGGACCGATAGGTCTCAAGGCACAGACCTCCGAGAAAGAGGGACGAAGAGGAGCAGCAGTCGCAGAAGTGGATGGAAGACAAGTTCCATTCCCCGGAGAGCAAGATGGGATAGAAGACACGGCGCCTATGGAGGAGTTCTCAGACACAGAGCCCTTCAGAAGCAACGACTCAACTGTTGTTGTAGGAGACTGATTAGAGCAACCCTTAGTCTCGACCACCACTGTAGAGTCGGAAGCAATTTGACCAGAACTGGCCGGAGAAGACAACGAAACCACCATTGGAGACAAAGGAAGCGCTCCTTTACTCTCAACAAAGGTACCAGAAGCCACCGTAGAAGCAGCAGCGCTCGACGGAGACAGATCGGGATTCGCAGATCCGGAGGAAATCGGGACATAAGAAGAAGATGTGACGGCCAAAACCCTGGAGAACTTCGAGATACACGGCGCAGCGAACGGAAGAGGGAGCTTTTTCTTCTTAGCCATGGAGGCTTACTCGCCTACCGGCGTGAGGCCAGCCGACGGCGGCGTTAGGTTATCGACCACTAATCGCCTAATTTGTCGAAGAGAGAGAAACGCTTTTCCCGTGTTCTCGTTTTAACATTCGGTGATTGCACCAATAGCTTTGGTTCAAATTAATACCCTTACTACATACATGTCAGCTTAACTCTAAATTTAACAAATTGAACAGAAATTTGGAAGAAAAAAACATAACTAGATGAAAGCAAAAAAAAGGACTATAAATTAGTTTAAGAACGGGAAAAAACCCGAAAAAACTGCCATCTATTTTTTTTTTGGCCGTTTAATACCTGTGTTTTTAAATTTGGAATAAAAATATCTCATTCAATTTTGATTGCCTTTTAAAACTATCGTTGTTTAAAAACTTAGTAATTTCGAACCCGAGACTTAACAGTCGTTATTGGGCGTAAATATGTTACCATATGCTCACAATACATTACAAGTAAATCAATGTCGTCGGGTGGTATCGTGTGTCTTTCTGTATACCACGAGTGCTTGGTTCGAATCTCAATCCTCCGGGTCGCCCAAGGGCTGATTTTTTTTTTTCTTCTCTTTCTTCTTCCTCCTACCTCTTTCGCCTCCTCTGTTGATAACTCTGTTCACCTAAAGGAAAGCTAAATTTATTAGTTTTTTCTTCTCTAACGCCCAACAAATGCAGAGATTAGTAAATTGTTTAGATTCAATGGACCAATCTTGACAACGAAAAAGACCAACCCTAGATTCAAAATTTGAAATTTTGAGGAAGAAGAAAAAGAATGAGGAAGTTTCGGCGGCGACGGCTGATGGTCGCCCTAGGGTTTCATGCAAAAAATAGAAACCACAAAGTTATAGAAATTTAACAAAAAAAAAAAAAAAAAAAAAAACCAAGCCAACATTCACTGGAGTCGAACCCAGCTCCTGAAATTTACAAAACCAACGCGCAACCACCAGGCCACATTGACATTCTCATAATATTTTGTGAGCAGTTGGTATATATTTATATAAACACGTGAGGTTAAAATTTAATGCTGTTAAATAATTCTGTTACGCTCAGTAACAACTGTTAAGTCTCGGGTTTGAAATTACCAAGTTTTAAAGACAATCGAAATTAAATGAGGTATTTTTATTCCAAATTTAAAAACATAGTTATTAAACGGCAAAAAAAAAATAGATGGCGGTTTTTTCGGGTTTTATACAAAAGTTGAACAAAAATTATTAACTCTAAACCAAAAATTAAGACAATGATCTAATATCATGATAGAAAAAGAACAACTAACTCCAAAAAAGATGGCCATGTAATGATCAAATGTCTCCTTTATCAATTATGGTTAATATTCCAGAGTCCAAACTCGAAACCATCTCATCCACATATAGCCATTTCTTTCCCTAACCCATTAAAATACAAAACAAATAACCATCAATAATTTTTTCAACTGAAAAAGGAAGAAAAATTGGTGACCAAAAATAAAAGAGAGAGAAAAAGGTGGAGAAAGGAGACCAAAAGTAGAAGCGTGGCTTACTCCAATTGACGGTAAACCCCTTTGACAAGTACAAGCACTTGACAGTATAACAAAAGTACAACGATGGGTGGAGATTGGCCAAAAATCCATACTCAAAAGATTTTCTATTTCTTTATTAAATCATATTTTTAAAAAATTAACATCCATATTAATTGAATAAAATTATAAAACTAGGAAAATTCTTAAAATTTAATATTAATATTATTAAACTAAATTTCGTAATTATTTTTTAATATATCTAAATATTTTTTCATATATCTAAATATATCTTGGTTTCAAAGCTTTGAACTTTGAATGAATTAGATGTGTCTGTTGAATGGAATTGAGAAGATTAGAGTTTTGTTCGGCTAATTACTTGTTGATTGGCATGTTTAAAAATTTCCTGCTTGGGAACCTTAATCTCTGATTAGTGTTGTTAGTTTCATGATCCAAGTGATTACTTCTCTTGAGATATTGATGTGTTGTTTATATCACTCTTAGGTCTTAGCAACAGCCAGCATCTAGATTTAGACATGCATATACAGATATACTACAGATAGATATCTATAACTGTAAGTATCATTTGTAGGTTGAGAAAATCGCGATATCACTGCCGTTTTCTTGTATTCTTGGTCTTCTTGCATCCATGACCGCATCAACCATGGGTAGGTCTTCTTTTAGAAAATTCTATTTCCAATGTGCCACTCTGATCCGTTTTAGTTCTGGAATATTCCTATGCAGTAATGAGAAGATTTGTCTGGATTTACGCATCTGTCCAGTTTGCGTTGGTTGTTCTCTTCGCCCATATATTTTACTCTGTGGTTAGTGCTCTTCAACACATCTTTTTTTCTTCCCTTGTGAGACATATATTGGTTAAACGTGGTGCAAGGCATATCATTTAAGCTAAAAGGACTTGTGAGCTTTTGGTTTAGCCAATATAGATCAAGACTTTTGAGATCTATACGAACAAAACTCGACATAAATGTGCATCCTTTTAGCCAATATAGAACAAGAATTTTGAGAAGGCTAGAGCAACAGCTGAACCAGGCTCAGACGCCGCCCCAACCGCTGGATCCAACCTCCTCTCTGCATCATTCGAATGCCTTATAGAGCCAAGAAGTGGAAAGAAGATTTTACATTTATACAGTAGTTTGGTTAATGTTGTGTAATATTTTGTATAAAAAGAAAAGAGAAAGTGATCATAGAATGCTTAAAGATTGTTCCTTTTGTTTGTTTTGCTTCTTTACATACACATTTATATTGTTGTAAGTTTGTAACTTTGAGTTGCTCAAATCTCTGCAAATGAAATGTTTGTACTTTGTAGTAGTATTGGTTTTTAAACTCTTTTTTTTTTGTATAATAAAAAGAAAGATTACTCAAAGAAAATATAATCAAATTGAATAAATGAGTAACGAGGTAATCACGTGCCAATTTCCTGAAAGCTCTTCTTCTCTGTTTCTGACTTACGCTTAAGTCTTTGTTCTTCTTCTTCTCAACGACGACGGTGTCGAGATTATTACTTGCGATGAATTTCTCCACGAGGCTCGCTGAGAAACTTCCCGGAATCTTACCGGTGCCGTCTTCTCCTTTCCTTCGTAAAGGTTGGTTCTTTTTAATCTGTTCTGTTTTTGTTTTCTGAGAAAATTGGATTCAATTCAAAGCTTTATGGCTTCGCCTGTGATGCTTGGTAATTGAAAAATCTTGGAATTAATTGCAACCTGAAACCTAGGAAACGAAATATATGAAAATATCTGATATTATGCCTTAACTGTAACGATTCGTTTTTGAAAAATATCCAAGATTTTGCATTTATTTCGGAACCGTTAAAATTGGATACGTTATATATTAACATTGGTAAAATAAATGTTTTTTTACGGGACGGGTTTGGCGGGACAAGTTTTCGAATCAACAATAATTAAAAAAATAAAATATTATTAATCCACCGCTTCAATATGGATTAAATGTTTAATTTTTTTTCTAATACCACAAATATTAGGCATATCAACTCAGTCTCATTTAGAAAAAGTTGTATAAAACCAAAAATTGTCTCGTGGTATAATGTTACTTAATAACAATGGTAAACTATAAAATATACATGTCTTAGAGAATGATACAATTTGTAAACTTTTATATATAATAAATAATCGTTAAATTTTTAAAATTATTACTTTTAGAAAACAAATCACGGGACATGTTAAGTAATTATATTTTGGAACGGAGTTATATTTTGGAACGGAGTTATATGGTGGACGAGTTTGAATCAATATTTAGAAAATTTTAAATAATCATTAACTTGCTGCTTTAATACAGATTAAATTCTTAGTTTATTAAAATATAAATATTTTAGAGAATGATATAATTTGTAAACTTTTATATATAATAAATAATCATTAAATTTTAAAATCACTATTTTTAGAAAACAAATCACGGAACGGGATAAAAAATTAGAGGACGGGTTACCACATTTTCCTTCTATGTGGATCATCCGGACTGTTGGTAGTTACCACGTTTCACTTTTCTTTTTAATGAGATCAAGATCGGTGAACAATTGTTCTATTAAATAACTAATCATTCTTTTCTTTCCAATTAAATATGATTCAATCTTTTTGAATTAAACACTAAATATAATTAAACGTTGACAAGACAAAAAAAAAAAAAAAAAAAAAACTAAAAATTTAATACAAAGTCCGTGCGATAAATCAGAACTTGACAAATAATTTACAAATAGTAGTACTCCTAGTAGAGATCAGAACTTGACAAATAATTTCAACGCAGTTTGTCTTCTTGCAAAATAGTTCCACGCTATTTAAAGGTGGGCTAGTGGAAAGAGTGTAGAACCCACTTTTCAAAAGCGCATCAACTACTATATAAATTAATGAAACACCCAACAAACAAACCCACACATTAAATTAAAGAAGAGAGAACTTTAGAGGTTAGAGAGATGAAGACGCAACATCTATGGTGGGAAGTTCTTGATCCATTATTGATACAACATGAAGCTCTTGTTGCATTCTTGATTTTTGCAGTGGTTGTGATTGTGGTTTACTTGTACCGACCCTCCTGGTCCGTACGCAATGTTCCCGGTCCAACCGCCATGCCTCTAGTTGGTCACTTGCCCTTGATGGCTAAGTACGGTCCTGATGTCTTCTCCGTTCTTGCTAAACAATATGGCCCAATTTTCAGGTACCACTTTCTCTCTTGATTCTGTTTTGAGTGGACAATTGAGTTTTTCGGTTTTCATGAAATCAAAAAAAAAAATTCATTTATAATTTAGTTTGTTCGGTTTACTGTAATTTTTTTGGTTTAGAGTCAGTTTGATTTTAAATAAGGAAAATAACTCTCTGCAAATAGTGTTTAACTTCTGTTTAACACAGCCCTATAGTTAATATTGTATTTTAACATATATAATTAAAAAATATAACTTTTTAATGAATTCGGTTTATTTAGTTTGATTTGATACAAAACACTAAAATTAGTCAGTTTTATTTTTTTGTCATTTTAAAATAATGAAACCAATTTTAACCAAAAAAGAATAATTAATAATGAACCCAAATGGATTATAAACATATTCCTGTTTGATTTTAGTTGAAACATTTTGGTTTGAGACTTGGTTCAATATGGTTTATATGGCCATCTCTTGTGGTTTTTATTGACTGATTGATGAACACAACAAGTGTCTAAAAAATCAAAAATGAAGACAAGTGATCATGTCCAATTTTAAATTAACAACAACAAAAAGCAGATTTCAGATGGGGAGGCAACCACTGATAATAATAGCAGAAGCAGAGCTTTGCAGAGAAGTTGGGATAAAGAAGTTCAAAGATCTTCCAAACAGAAGCATTCCCTCTCCAATCTCAGCTTCTCCTCTTCACAAGAAAGGCCTCTTCTTCACTAGGTACATCTATGCTCTATAAAACTATGTATACTTTTGTTTCTATAACCATTTTATGATTCTTGGACAGGGACAAGAGATGGTCTAAAATGAGAAACACCATCCTATCTCTCTACCAGCCTTCACATTTGACTAGTCTTATCCCTACAATGCACAATTTCATCACTTCTGCTACTCATAATCTTGATTCCAAACCGCGAGATATCGTTTTCTCCAACCTCTTCCTTAAACTAACCACGGATATTATCGGACAAGCGGCTTTTGGAGTCAACTTTGGTCTTTCCGGGAAGAAACCTGTCAAAGATGTAGAGGTGGCTGATTTCATAAACCAGCATGTCTACTCTACAACACAGCTCAAGATGGATTTGTCTGGCTCACTCTCCATCATCTTAGGCTTACTGATTCCGATTCTTCAAGAACCGTTCAGGCAGGTTTTGAAGAGGATACCGGGAACAAAGGACTGGAGAGTTGAGAAGACTAATGCAAGACTGAGTGGACAACTTAATGAGATTGTGTCAAAGCGAGCTAAGGAGGCTGAGACTGACTCAAAAGACTTCTTGTCATTGATTTTGAAAGCTAGAGAGTCCGATCCTTTCGCCAAGAAGATATTTACGCCGGATTATATCAGCGCTGTGACTTATGAGCATCTTCTTGCTGGCTCTGCAACCACTGCTTTTACATTATCCTCTGTTCTCTACTTAGTCTCTGGTCATCTTGAAGTTGAGAAACGTCTTCTTCAAGAGATTGACGGGTTTGGAGGCCGTAATTTGATCCCGACTGCTCATGACTTACAATACAAGTTTCCATACCTCGATCAGGTGCTTCATTTAACAAACAAAATCAAAAAGTTGATTTTCAGTGAGGTATTTGAATCTTTATGGATGTTTTTGATTTTCCTCCTTTGTAGGTCATCAAAGAGGCTATGAGATTCTACATGGTTTCCCCTTTGGTTGCAAGGGAAACTGCAAAAGAAGTGGAGATAGGAGGTTACTTACTCCCTAAGGTATATTCATCAACTCGCTCGCACTATCGGATGCCACCATTCAAATCCATCAAGTGGATTAGTTCACTCTATTACTTACCTTGTTGTTGTTGCTTAGGGTACATGGGTTTGGTTGGCACTAGGAGTTCTAGCAAAGGACCCGAAAAACTTTCCAGAGCCGGAGAAGTTCAGGCCGGAAAGATTTGATCCGAACGGAGAAGAGGAGAAACTTAGGCATCCATACGCTTTCATACCATTCGGTATCGGTCCACGAGCTTGTGTTGGACAGAGATTTGCCTTACAGGAGATCAAGCTCACCTTACTGCATCTCTACAGTAATTACATTTTTAGACATTCCCCAGAAATGGAGAACCCACTACAGCTTGATTATGGTGTAATTCTCAGCTTCAAGAACGGTGTTAAGCTCAGAGCCATCAAAAGATTCTGATTCTTGAAACAAGTGATGATATATAAACTTAGAGTTTCATAATGAAATATAAGCAAAGACTGCAATTTTTATATTTAAATTCAAAACTCCAATGTAGTTCCAAAGGAAAAAGAACAATTAACAACATACACAGATATCTCACAACACAAGACAACAACAAGCTGTTGAAACTTCCCTCAAGGAATTGACATGAATCTAAACAAGGTCACATTACCCTCTCAGCTTCTCGAATCGAGTAGGAACAACGAGTGGTTTAGAGAAACTAACATAGGAAGGATCTGAGGCATGACTAGTCTTCAACTCCCCAGTAAACAATCCAGAGTTCTTCATAAACTGAAATTCATCCATAGATTGCCTGAGACCGCGGTTAGTTCTTCGCTTAGCCTTTGTTGATTCAGTCAAGCTCATGTAACTTGGCTTGTTCTTTTTTGCTTGACTGCTAGAGTTATCTGAAACAAGGCCAGTATTTCCAGAAACAGGTGTAGTTGAAGTACAAATCGAAGATGAACCGGAGCTTTCATTAAACTCATAACCAGGACTTGAAGACAACATATGAGGAGGAGGTTTTGCAGATACCCTAGTGGTCACATTGTTTCTTCTAACTTTAACAACATCCACGGTTTCGGGTGATTTCAAATGCTTAGGAGGCGGAGGAGGAGGCGTGGCAGCGGCATCAACAGTGTCCATAATTCTAGTCTCCCATGGCCTAGCAGCCATCCAACGCTCCAACCAACTCCATCCCCAACTATTCTTATCAAACTCTTGACTTTTAAGATATGAAATCGAACTATTCGTCTTAAGGTTTGAGCTAGTAGTTGACCTCCATTGCTGCACAAAATCGGATTTTCGATTCAGACACGAACTTAAACAAGATGTTAAATGTAGACACATTTAGTTAGTTACCTTTTGAGCTAGAGCATAAGCCAAAGCACGTTCTCTCTTAAAAGCACCTTCTTGTCTCTTCTGCAACTTTGACTTAATATCAT